TGAAATCCATGGACACAGAAAGTATAGTGGTTGCCAGGTGCTGGGATAAGGGGAAATGGGAGTTGTTTAGTGGGAACAGAGTTTCTGGGAAGATTTTCAAGATAAAAGAATTCTGGAGAAGGTGGTGATGGATGCACAACAACATGAAGACACTACTGAACTGCACACTTAAAAATGGCCAGGGCGGAAGGGCACAGGCTCAGTATAGAATGCCTGCTTGGTATGTACAAGGCCCTGGCTTCAACACCAGCACCTCAAAAGCAAAAAAAAAAAAAAAAAAAAAAAAAAGAAAAGGTTAATATGGTAAATTTTATGTTATATAAGTATATTTTGTCACAAGAAAACCAAAACCAAAACCCAGAGTGGTAGGGCCCACCTCTCATTTATCATTCACTATCCACATAGCAGTTGTGCAGGGCTACAGGAGCCATGGCGGCCAGGAGAGGCTCAAGGCCCTCAGGATCCCAGGACGCCAGTTTCTGCCTCCTGATAGGACAACTCTGGCCACATATTCAGCTCCAGGGTTCTGACACACTGACTTTTCAAAGAACAAAAATAATTCCTTGACTTGCTAGAATGATGACACACATTCTAATTGGATTCCTATTTGGTAATGAAGTACTTTTCAGGGAAGTGGCAGGCATAGCCTCCGAAGAGTACCCCTGCTTCACAAGTCCAAGGATTTTCCCCATTGCCCTGTGTTGCATGTTCCAGAAACCACAGCAAGACAGACAATGGGAGAGGGGAAGGGGAGAAGGAGAAGCCTTCACAGAAATCAAGGGAAGGGGAAGATGATCTGCTGGTTACCTAGGAAGGCGGGGGCAGGGTGTGTGTGTGTGTATGTGTGAGTGTGGAATCTTGTGATGTTGGCTGCTTTGGAGCAGAGTTTCAAGGTACAAGCACCACCCCCTGCCCTGGGGAGAATAAAGTGTGGTGAGCTGAGAATTTGGAAGTTCCCTGTCCTTTGGTTTTGAACAGCAGGAGACTGAGTGGGAAAGGTTTTCTGAGAAGTTGTTCTTCAGAGTATTTGTTCTCATTCACCTTTAATCCTCCTCCTCCCACTAGCTCAGCCACTGGAAAGCTGACACCCACGTCTTCCCAACAGTGTCCAGGCTACCAATTCACTCCTTCTCCTCCCTCTCTTCCCATTATTTCACACACTTATATCCACACTCATTCACTCACCTCACTTATCAGCAATAGAAACAGAGGAATGGGCCCTGCAGAAATTGCCAGGGGTCTAAGCACAGAGTTCACCCAACCAAGTTCCTCAACCTGTGTTCCACCTTGGCCAGGGCTCCTATTTGGTGCTTTCATGTCACAAGGTAAATGCTGCAGTGCAGGCGCTCTCACTGTGACAACCTGAGGCCTGGGTGTTAGGAAGGCCTTTCTCCAGGTGGACAAGTGACACCTGTCTGGGCAATGATTTGCCCAGAGTCACACAGCTGCCCAAGGGCAGGGCTAGGATTCAGACCTCAACCTCCCAACAGTTAGTCCCTGCTCACCTGGTCAGAATACCATCAGGCTTTGCAAGACAAATGAGGCCGGGTTTCATTTTATTCTAGTAGAGACTTTAAGAAAAGAGTAACAGAAGGAAAAAAAAAAAAAAAGGCAAAGCTGGGGGCATAAACTTCCAGTGATCCCTCAATCCTAGCTGAGATCAGTTGCCTTCCTTCACTCCACACCCTTACTGGAATTCCAGAAAAAGGCCAGGCTCTGAAAGTCAGGTTCAGGCTAGGTAATAAATGCCTTCTTGTTCCACAGGCAAGAAACCAAAAGCCCAGCCCTGCTGTTCAAACAGGGAGTGTGAATGGTTTAGTCTCTTGTCTCAGGTCTGTTTATGAAGTTAGCGCTCTTAGTAAATCCACAAAGAGATGGCTGTCCTTCAGACTGAAGGGCAAGCTAAGAAATGAACTTGTACCCTGGCATGTTTGACTCTTTGGCAGAGTGAACACTTCTTTGATTACAGGGACTATGACATCCCTTTTTCCTTTTAATATTCAGTTTCTGCAGATTGAGGGCCCTGTGATTTCGTGGTTTCAGAATGAGTCACCCGTTACTTGGGACTGAGGCAGAGCAAATTTCTTTGCACGCTGGGGATGGGAGTAGATGGGTCAGGGGCACACACTCATTTCACACAACTTCCTTGTCTGTGCTTAAATGTGGAGGAGGTGTGAATTCTGGGTGCTGCATTTGTAAAAGATACATCAATGCCACATTCAAATCAGGTCATGGCAAAACTGTGCCTCGTGACCACATGTCCTTTTTTTTTGGTTTCTTTTTCTGAGCTAGGGTCTCACTATGTAGCCCACACTGCCTCCACCTCCTGAGGGCAGGTTTGTAAGGCATGCACCACCATACCCAGGCACATTCATTTTTAAGTAGATTCCATGACTAGAAGGAAGGCAGCAGAGATGGGGACGGATTGGTGCCAGCCTCTAAAGAGTTACTTGTGTGTGTCTGTCACAACTAGACTGTCAACTACCTCATGGATCCAGGGACAATGAGAGCAGTCTGCTAGAGGAGGAATGACGTGGAGGAGAGTAGACCCAAAGCCCCACCTTAGCCCAGGAAGGGAGAAAGCAAGTAGATGGCCGTGAGGAAACTGGGGGTATGGGTACATAGTGTGGCCTGGCACCCATGCCCTGCTTCCGAAACGCGCACCACACCTTATGGAAGGAGCTACCATAGGCACCTGACCCAGACCTAGCTGGCAGGGCCAGAACACCCTCTCCGCTGTCCTCTGCATCACAACATGAATGAAGGAATGTGCCTGAGGCCCTTCTGAGTCACAGGAATTAATAGCTGTGGGGTTTTGTCCAAGCAGAAAATACCCCACTGCACCTTCAAGAGGGGGACTAAGAGATCTAACAGACTTTTCAGAAAGTTCCAGACTACAAGTGCTGCTCCTGGAAAGACAGGTCCGTGACAGCTTATATGTAGTTAAGTGAGCTGAGTGGGAAGGTGACAGGTCCGTCATGTTTTGGAATGATTAATGTGTTCCAGAAGTTATGAGGGCAACCGAATGGTCATGGGGGTCACTGAGAGCCACGCTTGGCTGACCTCTGAGGCTAACACCAGGCCTGAGCAAGCCTCCGGGGAAATTCTTAGGCTGTATGGCACAATGTGGTCAAGTGACCATCTGGGAAACCCACTTTGGAAGGCTGGTGAAAATTCCTCCCCAGTCCTCTGCACAAAGAGGTAGGGCTCAGCACTCCCAATTCCAGAGAGCCCAACTCCAATCCCAGCAGCCCGAGTGGCCACAGCAGCCTTGCTGAGCTGGTCCATAGTCCCCAAGCACTGGGTCTGGGTTGACTAATTGTTTTTGGGGCCAAGCCGGCTCTGTCCATACCATGGTTAGTCACAGCCAAGGTCTGGCTAGAGAGCAACCCTTAAAAGGACTGGAACAAAACCAGGAACATCCTTCCAAGACAAAATGGACAAGAACACAGTGTACAAAACAAGGTGAAGATGTCCACTTTGCCCCCATTGTGGCTATGTAATGGCTAAGCCTAGGGTTTAAGCAGATAGCATTCTGTCCAGTTAACAAACACACTAAAATGTCCTAAAGAAGCAAATAAGTATGACTTACCTTGTTTTTCCCTCAACTTCCCACCAAAATGATATTTGCTGACAAAGGTTGCCCAGGCCAAATGAACTCCTAAATGAAAAATGCTTACTGTCCACTGAACACAGATAAAAGCAGGCTAGGGATCTCAGCTCAGAGGAGAGCCAGGAGGCTCCAGGTCATGCAATCATGGCATTCGCTGATTACTACTAGGAAAACCCTGCTGGGGCAGGGCCAGTGGATTGGGGAGGTGGGAGTGTTTTCTGGGGGCCAAGTCGCAGGGAACTTCCAGAGGCAAAGAAGTTCCCGGTCACTGCTTCTATGGGCAGCTCATGCAACAGCTTCAGATGCCCTACTGATGAGGCTGGGAGAGGTGGCTTCAGCGCCGCCACTGCCCAGGTTCAGGAGGTCAGTGGCAGTGTGCCCCACATTGTAGCAGACCCCAGCCAGGCTGCCCAGAAGAGGCTGCATCCGCCTCAGTAAGTGTGGCTGGACCCTCCCTCCAGTGAGCAGAGCCCTGGCCCCACTGCCAGCACGCAGAGTCCCCATCACCCCCTCTTCTACTGCCTGGAGCTGCGGCCAGAGCTCCATCTGTGTGTGGCTGTGAGCCTGGCCCATGACATAAGTAATTGCCAGCCCATGTGTGCCTGATCCCAGAGCAGACACTGTCAAGCTCAAAAAGGTGTCAGCACCTAAACAAGGGGAGGTGGAGAAGGCAAAGCCAATCATCCCAGGACAGAAAGGATTCTGCTTACCAAGTGCATATGCGTCACACAGTGTACCTCACGCCACACTGACGCATTTTCTGAAACGCTTGGTGGAAGAATCTGGGGGACTACATTTGCTTCTGTGACTCCAAGAAACCATAGTCTATTAGAAGAAATAGTTTCATAGGCCCCCTTTTCTTCCCACAGTGCACTGGATACAAATCATCATCCCCAGTCACCAGGAGTGAGTACACATTAATGATGAATGAAGATGACGATAATAACAGTGATGGCAGTAGCAGCCACAAATACTCACAGAGCATTTCATTCAGGCCAGTCACTGCTCTGGGCAGAACAGAAGCATTATTTCGTTTCAATCTCCTAACAGTCCTACACCGCAGGTGTTATTTGTGGTCCTCTTTTTACACTTGGAAAGCCAGTCACAGCTTCAGTGAGCAGCTCTGCTACAGCTACAGATGTCCTGCTGATGGGGCTAGGAGAGCTGGCCACCCATCCAACGAGGGTGGGACTTGTCTTGATGTGACAACCCCCAGCTGCCTCTGATTGTCTGCTCTGTCTGGGATGAGGTACATTGGTGGGCAGTGGGGACAAGCAGAAGCATCCACAAGACACATGTGGGAGCAGAAAAAGGACAGAGGACACAGAAGGCAGCATTGGCTGTGGGCAGCAACACGGTGCAGGACGTGGTTCCTGGGTACACTCACCTTCACGCTCCCCACTCGTCTTCATGCCTTTTGAACCACCCTCTGTACCTTTAGCCTTCTCAGCGTCTTCCTGGCTGTCCTCAGTGGGCACTTTCTCCTCGTCTTCTTCCTCCCCCACGTTTTTATAGTTGGGTCTCTTTTGCACCCGCCTCTTGCCCTTGTGCTTGTTCATCTCAAGGGACCGCTCAAGGGTCTCAGTGGGTTTAGTGAAGCACCGAATGCTGGGCTTGGCCTAAGAAAGTCCAAGAAAGGCCACAGATTACCTGGGATGCTGGGATCTCACTGGATGCTGGCAAGCTGCCAAGTGATCCCATCTAAGAAAGTCATCCCCCAACAACAAATGCTGCCTCCTGGTTTGGTGTCAGGACTATTCATATTGCTAAGATCGTCATGACTATCAAGTGACTGGAACCATTGTGCCAGCTACCACTTATTGCTCAGTCCTACATCAGAAATGCTGCTTTCTACTTCCCAGTGCTATACTCCCCAAACAACAGCTGTTCACATAGGAAAAGCACTTCTAGTTAGCACTTTTGCACACTTTGTAGGTGACACTTGCTGTTCCCAGATCTCTGACTATAGTATCTCACTTAAGTTCTACAGCAACTCCATGACTTGATGACTGTTGTCCTCCCTTTACAGAAGAGGAAGCCAAAGCGCAGAGGCCACACAGTCACACCATCTGTGTCCTAGTTGTAGGACACTTTTAACTTATGTAAGTTTTTTATTTGTTTGTTTATGGTAGTTCTAGGGATTGAACCTAGGGCCTCATGCATGCTAGGTAATCAGTCTACCACTGAGTTACACCTCCAACCACACAGAAGTTCATTTTAAAGGCAGCTATGCATTACTACAGGAAATGGAACACCAGCATGTCTTGCTATTATAAAAATAAACAGAAGAAAAAAGCACGTATGGCAAGCTGGCTGCAGTTATATGTTGGCTCTCCTTAGAAAGAGCCTGGTGCGCGCCAGTGTTGAGTCAAAGACCACTCACTCCAAAGGAAGTTTCTGTCTGGAAAAGGCAGAGTCCTCGAAGAGAAATGAGAAGGGTCCCTATCACTTGGGTTCATGTCCACTATTCCTGCATCTCTGTCTCCACAACAGCCATGATATACAAGAACTATGGGTCTATTTTAGAGTTGAGAAAATCGAGACTCCAATAGCACTAGCTACTGTGCTGCAGAGCTAGAATCTGGATCCAAGCTTGCTCTTCTTAAAATGATAGTACTTCCCCGGGAACAGAGTGCAGTGTCAGTGCCATGCTTAGCGCTCTTTAGAAAGCGTGCATGCTCTGGACACGGAGGCACGTGCCTACGGTCCCAGCTACTCACAAGCTGAGGCAAGAGGACGGCTTAACCCCAAGGAGTGTGAGGCCGGCCCAGGCAACACAGTGGACAACAAAATAGTCTCCAAAAAAAAAAGTCTATACATGCAAAAGGACTATGTGTAGAAAGGAGCAAAGACAAGGAAATTGATTTTCTTGGGACAGGATTTTGACTGTAGTGTTTTCCTCTTGGCGGACTCTGAGTAATGTTCAGACATCATTTTGTCATTTAAAAAAGTTTTAGAATAAACTTTTCCATTATCTTGATATGGATTACCCATCTCATGAATTTACCCGAAAGAGCCATCAATTGTATTCTGGGGGCCACCATACCTTGCCAATAAGTGCGATATGCTCAAGGAACACAAATTAATTTCAATAATGCTCAAAACAAACTCAATTGTGAGCCAAATTAGCATACAAATCCAAACATTCATTTTTATTTACCCACTTTGGATTATTCAACCACAAAAATGACAGATAAATTGAGACATGACTGTACTGCCCAGGAAACACGGCTAGTGTATTACAGACGCCAGCCACCAAGAGCCTGAAGATGTGGGCCTGCAGAGCACGCACTGCCTGACAGACGGCATCCATCAGGACTCACTTAGGACTCTGCATGACCAAAAGCAGCCCTGGACAGCCCCCCCTCTCTTGAAGGACCAACCTGGCAAGTTAGGCCCACAAGATAAAGTGACTGCGTCTTCCCATCACTGCCTTCTCCCAGGGAATTTTAGAGCAAGCCACACAGAGATCCACTGTCAGACACAGAAAACCCAGAGCAAATACCGAGCAAACACCTCCCAGGTGGAGGTCATGAGCAGACACTCACAGGATGACTAAGGAAAACTGAGCTCTACATGGACTCAGTACAGAACTGAGAGAAGACAGCACAGGGCTCAGGCTGTCATGATGCTCTGACCCCCAGAGGAGCTCTTTATCAGGTGAATCATTCTGGTCTAGAACCAAATGAAACTGAATTCAAGCTCCTGCAGGGCTGGGACCACAGCTCAGTGGAAGAGCATGGGGACCTGGGTTCCATCCCAGCACTGCCACAAAACAAAATCAAAAAGTTCCTTCAGAGAGTGACAAAACAGTAAGCATCCAACATATGACAGCCACCTTCCTTTGCTGGCCTGTGTCCATAGAGAAATAACAGCCGCGGGCATGGACTTAAGAACTCTCCGAAGGACCTGTTTTCTCCATGATAAGGAGAGGGAGGGGAGCATGCTTAGTGGGGATTTCTAATCTTGGAAACGTAACCGTCCAGTGAACAGCTGGAAACCACCTAAAGGTCCACTGCGAGGGAGCGGTTAGGCAATTATGATCTGTCTGGCTACATAGTGGGAGTCCAATCACATGCTAAAGAGACAGGTCTTCTGATTCTTAGGCGGACTGATGCAGAAACAGTGCTGGGATGGAAAGCAGGAAGAGGCCCTAAAGCGGGTCCCTTTCAAAAGCTTTCAAAGGCTACACGCAAGAGTGGAAGCACAACTTTCCCTGGAAAGTGGCCCGAGAACGTGTTCACTTTTCAACTCTGGAGAAAGGGAAGGCACTGCGCCTACCCACCACATACAACACGCTGACATGTTTTCATTTGGTTTGAAATTTCTCATTATGCAAACATATTATGTTTTTAAAATTCAATGTGGGTCAGGTGGACACTGGGATGAAGGACTATTTTTGTTTTCTTTTATATTTATATATATATATATATACACATATATATACACACATATACATACGTACATATGTACATGTACGTATGTATATGTACATACGTATATGTATGTGTATATATGTCTATATATATATGTTTTGTTTGTTGGTTTTTGGTGGGACTGGAATTTGAACTCAGGGCTTTGTGCTCACAAAGCAGGCGCTCTACCACTTGAGCCACACATCTCGTCCATTTTGCTCTAGTTATTTTGGAGATGGGAGTCTCTCAAACTATTTGCCCAGACTGGCCTGGAACCTCAATCCTCCTGATCTCAGCCTCCCATGTAGCTAGGATTACAGGTGTGAGCCACTGGCGTCCAGCTCCTCTATATGTCAAAAACTCGATTTTTCCTTAATACTAACATCAGAATGCCATAGTTATCATGGAGAAGCTGGTAGGACTTGGCTAGAAAATGTAGGAAGAAATTCATGATCATCCCTGCTGCCCTTTCAAAATCCTCTGGCTGCTGCCCTTTCAAAATCCTCTGGCTGCTGCCCTTTCAAAATCCTCTGGCTGCTGACCTCCAGAATTCTTCTGTGACTCTAGACATCCAGGTGTCACCTCCCTGCTGCGCTCTCAGCACTAAGCCTAGAGCAGGGCAGGGGCTCTCCAGCTGCTGCTGCATGAGCTCCTGGCTGCAGGGTGAGGTCTGTGTCATTCTGCATAGAGAAGGAAAAAGAACAGAAAAAGGAGAAGAGAAGGGAGGAGGGAAGGGGTGCAAAAAGAGCCTAACTCCGTCAGAGTGACCCTAGCACAAGGAAAAAGCAATGAAACCAACAAAAAGAAATGACAAAGCCCCCTCTGGAGTCAAAACGCAGAAGACTTTAGGTTTAGCTTCTCACAGCAAAGTACATAATGCTCCATCAGGAAGCATTCCACTTCACAAATGTCATAGGCTTGGGTTTGGCCAAGGGTCCATCTCCCAGGGGCTGAGCCAGGGCTCAGGAGGAACATGGGGAAGGGGCCTCCTTGCTGCCTATGTGTTCTGCCAGAGGGCCTGGAGTTCTGTGGTTGGATTCTTAGGCTGGCTTCTAGGGTCAGGGCCACTGGAAAGTCAGCAATGGGATTTCAAGGGTAGCCAGAGGGCTTAGCTACCTACTCCCCAGAGGGTGTGCATCTGCCTGCTGGTAAAGGAAACCTCCCCCAGCCTAGTGCTCCTCCAACCCAAGGCTCTAGTCCTTGCTTTCTAAAGAGTCAAATATTTCAGGAAGGAGAATCCCCAGGGGGGTCAGGGAAGACTGAGGCCTCTCAGATGGGGGGTCTGAGAGCAAGCTCTACAAGACAAGGAAAAGGGAGGGAGGATGGGAACAACGAAGGCCTGGGGGCCTGGGTGGAGGAGGAGTTTGGGATCATACAGAATGTCCCCCACTAAGTCTGGGTGTGGCAGTTTAGAAAGACCTGGCAGAGACTGCACACAAAAAGTGAGTTATAGTTAATGAAGCAGTCAATCAATGATTCGGTTTATGGGTAAAAACCAGGTCTACAGAGTTAAAACATGGATTATATTTATATTCTATGTTCCAGATCCCAGATCTGATAAACATTTACATGAAAATGTATAGAGAAAGTTCTGGAAAGATACATAAACTGCAACCAGTAGCTCCCTATGAGGAAGATACTGAGTTTGGGGGAATTTTCCCTTTCCGCTCTTTCTGTTTCCATAGTATGCAGTTGTTTTGACCCAAGATAGTACAATTTAAATGTAAAAACACCATCTGGGCAAGGTGGTACATGCCTGCAATCCCAGCATTCAGGAGACTGAGGCAGACACTGCCACAGAAAATCATAAGTAAATAAATGTAAAAACATCTTTAAAGAATGCATTTCATGTCTCTGAACCATACCCTTAAAAACAGTGAGATGGTCAACTTGAAGTCATGTTTATTTCACCACAATTTAAAAAAGAACAAAGTTTTCCAAAGACACCCTCTGTATGGGGGGAAAGTTGGCCCTAGACTGAGATGCTAGAAGCACTGTGAGTCCTGGGGAAGGAGGCTCACACGGGAGTGCCAGGGCTCAAAGAGTAGGCCTGTGCTGGACAAGAGCATTGTGTGGCTTCATGGAGGAGGTGACCCATCTGAGTCTTGAACAACAACAACAGGAATTCACCAGTGCACTTGGGAAGAAGAGAAGGCTAGGAGAGGCCAGCCCGGAGCCCCAGCCTCTAGAAGCTTGCAGCTAGG